ACCCCTGCCATGGCTGGGGACATCTTCAACTGGATCAAGATGATGGTTGAGCTTACAGTTCCATCCAGACTGAACTCCAATGTTTCCAGGAATGGAGCCTCTACCACCTCTCTGGGCAACCCATTCCATGGCTTCACCTGTCTCATCGTAAAGTACTTCTTCCTTATATTTAGTCTGAATATACCTTGTTTTAATTTAAAACCATTACCGCTTGTCCAGTTGCAACAAGCCCTAATAAAAAATCTGTCTCCGTCTCTTATATGAACTCCCTTTAAGTACTGAAATGTCTCAACAGGATCTCTCTGGGGCCTTCTCCAGACTGAACAATCTCAACTCTCTTAGCCATTCTTCACAGGACAGGTGTCCAGTCCTTTCATCATTCCTCCTCTGGACCCTCTCTATCAGATCTGTTTTTCCTGTATTGAGGACTCCAGAGCTGGATGCAATAGTCCAGTCATTAATGAGCTGTAGGTCTCTTTGCCAGAGGAGACCAAAATGAAAAATGCATTAAAAAAACAATCAGATATTTTTGTGCAAAAAATTGGTCAGAAGCTAGCATACACCTGCCATTTGTTGACCCTATGACTCAGGAAGACCCTAAACCACAAACTGTAGTGAATTTGGGCAAATGCAAAAAGGGCAGCATTCCACTGCCTGCTCCATGCCTTATTTTTTTTCCCAAGGATGTTTCCTGCTTCCAGGAGTGGGACAGTTTGCCAAACATATTTTTTGGCTTTAGCTGGTACAGCTTAGCAGATAAGCATAAGAGGTGAGGACCAGTAAAATCAAAGATACAAGCCTACGTTTCTAACAGCAGAAATGTAGGACAGAGCAGATGGCAGGTAAACAGTGCTGGCACTTCAGGAAATACCAGGATTCACTTTTCTCACTGTTATTTTACCTTCTTTTCTTAATCTGTTTTCTAGATACTTAAAGAGGAAAAAAAAAATAAATTTCTGAGCTCCATCCCCCAATTATTATTATTTTTTTAATTTCGCTTAAAAAAAATAATTTTGATAACTTGTTCATACTCTCTCTCATGCCCAGGTAAATCAGGAGCAGAACCACTGATGTCACTGAGCTAGAGCCACAGACTCATCATAATAGGTTTCAAAAGTTATTGTGACATTTTACAGCCTCAGTACTGAGCCCAATAATGTGTTCCTATTGAAATATTCATTAACTGAATAGTTTGAAAACATATTTCAGACAAAATAAATAAGAAAATATGTAAACTTATTTTATCACTAAACCCAAGGCCTTTAAAATCCTTGAACAATGCAACTGAGAAAATTAAATTTATTTCCCAGAGAAATGTTCATTATATTTCATTCAGCAGTAAGGGTCTAAAAGCTCCCACAGGGATGATCAAAAGTCATCAGTTTTATTTTGCAGTAGATATTCAGATTTGAGATTTGGTTTGTTTCACTGTAAGTGAAACGAAAAGCTTTTTGAGCATGGTCCAACAATGGGATTACTTCATGACTGTCATTTGATTGAAGGGTTACCTTTTAATTTCACATCCTCTACAAATGAGCAGTGAGACAGCCCTAGTTCTCAAAAATCCTTTTATCAATATTGCATCAGTTCTAAGAAACAGGGTGCTTCAGCACAGCAGCATATATCCAAATATATGTGTTCTAAAAGTGCCCAAGACAGCTTTGCTAAATATTATTTCTTATAAAACCAACAAAGTCTGCACCCACCATCAGATTGTTGTGTGTGATCATAGGCTAGAGACAGAAATCACAACTCCAGTCCTCTTGATCATAAGACACATAAGACATAAGCAAAGAGTTTATTACGGCAGCTCTTTTTATAGGGGGTTTCAACACCCTGAGTTCAGACAGCTGATTGGTCTGGGGTTTAACACCACCCAGTTCCTTGACCTTGATCCCACCAGAGTGGGATCTCTGCAGCAGGATTGAACAGGATTGGTTGTGGTTTCTCTTTGAGTTTAAATCTATGCTATCATTGCTCACCCAAGGACTTGTTCTGCTTTTTTTCTAGAACGAGCTAGGCCAGCCAAATTCGGTTTCTGTTTGTGGCCAGATTTATCTGTCCAGCTACAGACTAGGTGTACTGTGACATCAGATTAATTTGCTTTGTCAGTGATTCATTCTAAATAGCTCTCATGAACATTATGAGAATTATGAGAATGCGTCCCCTTCTCCCCTTCCTGCCCACGGGCTTTGTTGTCATATGAAATGATTTTTTTTTTCATTTTGAATGTGCTTAAGAAATACCTAAATGCTATAAATAAATAGATAACATGAGACAAACAAAAGCTGAGCCTGCCAAGTCCCAACAAGTCAAGAAGATGACATCATTTGTACAAGCTTGAAATTATGGAGCAGAGATTGTAACCTGAAGTGAACGTGCTATGCCAGTACAAACAAAAATCAGTTCATCCACATTTCTGACATGCTTCCTTCATAAAGTTCTATACCCTGACACCATGGAAATTTACTTGGCATGTGGTTTGGTTGCTTGGTCAAACAGCTGAAAATTAACACCATAAAGAGGTTTAGATGGGTGTGGGTTCAAGATATTTTCTAGGTGGAGCAATCCTTTGTAGTTCTCTGCAAATTACATCTTTGCATGTACAACTGTGTAACATCAGGGACACTTGGTGCACAACTCAGATGGTCACCATAGACAGACACAACATGCTCTCTGCAAGGCCCATTTTAAAACTCTTCAAGACCTGCAGCACTGACTTCAGTGTGTGTGCATCAGAAAAGCAAAGTTGGCCTTAGTCATCTTTTTGCTTTCCTCAAAACCAAAGACCTGCTTGAAAACCCACATTGTTAGTCTATGAACGGGAGAAAGGGATTCTCAGGGAAAATAGCAATCAACCTTCTGTGAAAGCTTTCCATCATTTTCTGATACCTTTGCAATGAAATCATGTTACAGGTGCCTCATGCTTTTGTTCCTATGTCAAACACGCAGTTCCCTGCTGACTTAAGGAAATTTTAAATATGGTGGCACCTAGTGAGGAGTCACTGCAGTAGATGATACCCTATTTAATCCTTTGTCACTCTCTGTAGAAAGGATAAAACTTGCAGTCTTTCTCTCTAGGATCTTTATTGCTTACTCTTTAACTGACTGGATTCTGTAAAGAAAAGGTGCCTCTGACATAAAGCGAATGAGAAAGCTTATTATATTAGCAGGAACAAGGGAGGGAATTCACAAGATGAACTCATGTGACAGCATGAACCCTTAGAATTGCAAAAAGCTGGTGCAAAGAAAATCCACTCTGGTTTCTAAAGCGGTTGTTACTATTTCATGTGACTTTTACAGAAAGTTGAAAGTGAATTAGAGACGTTGCCTTGATATGATTCATGTCCAGGTAGAATTTTTGATGATACACATTGTCTTACAGTTATTTTCTTAAGATGTGCATTGCTAAATACACAATCACAGTTTTCAAAGTGCTGGACCAGCAGGCATTTTTTTTAACACAAAGGTAATATATTTATTTAAGGGACGAATGTTTATTTTTTGAAACTGTATTGTAGAAAACACCTGTATAAGCTCAAATCAATGTTGCCATTGAAAAAAGTAAACAGAGAGAATTTTGAATCAGAACAGGAATAAAAAAATGCAAGGCCTGTGTCTGCCCTTGAGGAAAGAAGAGGAAATAAAGATGTAGAAGGCTCCTCAGTGCAGGTGGTGGACACAGTCCTGAGATGAAGCTGTAGGTCATCTCTGAGAGAAGGCTTTCAGGAGGTCAGAGGTGTTCAGTCACTTCCCCAGCCTGGCAGTGGAGATGTCCAGTGACATCAAGAAAATCAAATAAATAGAAATTTTGCCTATCCTAGAAAGTATTACCGAGTACCTGCAGTATTGCTATGTGGGAGAAATGCCACTGTTGGACAGAAGTCTGCCTAAATACTATTCATAAATTCACAGGAGTCAGCAATGAAATGACTGGCAGAAGTCTCTGTAAATTAAGCCCTAAACTGCTCTACTTGGATTTGGTTGTTGTCGGGCCTAATATTTTAACAGCTATAACCACATAGCCAAAGTATTGAATCCAGGCTTGAGAACAACCCAGCATGCTCTAGAAATCTTAATAAATGCCACAGTTTGAAATTGTTGACATGGTTTTTGCAGAACTTAAGGACTCGGGTACAAGCAAGTTTATTTCTGTGTGATTTCCTGGAGGGCAGGCAGAGAACATTTCTGTTAGAAGGGAGGGACTGAAAGTCAAACGATTCTCTCACAGCTGTTTTGCCGGACCTCTGAGAATCCTTACAAGGGCAAAATCAGACAACATCACAGGTAATGCCATTGGATCATCCAAGGAGGAAGGAACTGACATTACTTTTCACTGAACTGTGCTCAAGTGCAAACCCAGAACAGGGGCTGTCTCTGTGAGTGGAAGAACGCAGGTGAAGAAATGGCTGAAAGAACATCTGCCTAATGGAGTGAAGCAACTGAATGATTCACGTGTTCTCCTCTAGGCTCCACCACAGTAAGAGCAGGAGAAAAAAAAGTGTCTCTTTTATTACATGTGTAATTACACTGGGATTTGGGACTGGAACATCTCAACATAGCCTTTTTAAATTCTTACCCCTGAGCACCTTTGATGTACGTCTGTATATTGGAAATATTTTCCAATCACCAAAACTGTTCATTATTGTCACACAAAAGCAACTATTAGGATCCATAAGGATCTTTGCACAGGATCCAGTAAGGGTGCACCTGCAAAGATATTCACAGATCAGCAGGTTCATAAAATCATGGAATAGCTTGGGTAGAAGAAACTGGTAAGGGCCATCTAGTCCAAGTCCCTGCAATGAGCAGGAACATCTTCAGCTAGATGAGGTTTCTCAGAGCCCTGTTCAATCTGACCTTGAATGTTTCCAGGGATGAGGAACATTCCACCTCCCTGGGCAGTTTGTCCCATTGTTTTACCACCAACAACATAAAAAATTTATTTTCTTGTACCTAGTCTGAATCTACCCTCTTTAGTTTAAAAACATTACCCTTACCTTATCACTATAGGCAAAACAAGCCCAGATCTCTCAGTGTGTCCTCACAGAAGAGCTGTTCAAGCCCTTTGATCATTTTTGCAGCCCTTCTCTGGACCTGTTCAAACCGGTCCATGTGTTTCTCCACTGGGAACTCCAGAGCGGGATGCAGCACTCCAGGTGGTCACACCGGTGCAGAGTACAGGGGCAGAATCATGCTGTGCTGGCCACGTGTTTTTGGATGCAGCCCAGGGTGCAGCTGTTTTCCAGGCTGCAAGGGCACATTGCTGGGTCATGGCTATCTTTTCATTCACCAGTGCTTCCAAGTATTTCAACTTTCTCTTTTTTTCCCCAACCTGTGTTGAAACTGTGTAGCAATGGGGAACAAAGCGACATCCAAAGAAGATGGCTTTACTGCATAAATCATCCCTCTTTATACCTTTAATCTCCATCTGACATAACAGAAACTGAGGCCTAACAGAATTTAACAGAGAAAGGACACCCATTGGCTGGTCCAGCTGTGGTACCGCTGTCCACGTGTCCTATCACCCAATCAACTTCCTGCTCTCACATTGACCACGCATTCTATCATCCAATCAGCTTCCTGCTTGTATCCTGCGCGTTCCTCCAGCCAATCACAGCCTCACTCCCAGCTGTCACTCAACTGACTCTCCTGGCTGACAACTGTCTCTCACCCCTCAGCCGACTCCTGACCAGCCTGCTGCTGTGCCTTCCCTCTGGGCCTTCTGGTGAGCAATAGCCTCAGCCTCTTTAGCAAATGCAACCCCATGCCCCATAATCCTGGAGTCACTTCAATCCAGCTGGCACTTATTTGTGCAGTTGGAGCTGGCACTTACTTGCTGAATCCCATGAGACCTCGGTAAGTCCCCTTCTTGAGCTTGTCCAGGGCCCTCTGGTTGACTCCTGTTCCTCAGGGCTGCCAACCCTATCACAGCTTGGCATCTATCTGCAAACTTGCTGAGAGTGCACTTAATCCCCCTGTCTGTGTCACTGGTGAAGACATTAAAGACCAGTCCCAGAACAGGCCCCTGAGGGACACCACTCATAATTGATCTGGACACTGAGCCACTACTAAATTAACCACTCCTGATTTTATATAGCAGTTAACTAACAAAAGAACTAAGAATTTGTGGGTGGTATTTACTCATCCCTTGCAATCAGCTCTCTTGTTTATACAGTTCTAGCTGATTACATGAGATATGTGTCTGCACACAACTGATGAGCCAGCATCATTTGCTGGATAGGCCATTGATGAACAGGGGTTTTGCCACTGACTTTCACAGAAGTAGGTCTGAATCTTCCCAGCACTCGGCTTTGTTGCTGAGGTTTCCTGTTCTTCCATTCTGTGGCAGCTCACACACTATTCAAAGATGAAACTCTCACAAGATGAGACAGCTTCAGACAGCGAGAAGACTGGAAGTCTCATTCCCATGCTGCCAGGGAAATGTCTGGATATAGACATCCAAAAGCACATTGAACCACAAGAAAGTGCAAGGATAACAAACCACTAAGAAAGCAGGAAATATTTCAGTTAAAAGTAATCACAAATATCACCAGAGAAAATTTCAAAATCAATGTCTTCACTCAACAAAAGTCATCTTTATTGCACATTTTGTCTCTTTGATTAGCTTACTGACAATTCAGAAGCATGGCTTTGATTTATAATTCAATTCACTTCAATCAATCAATAGCAGATCTGAAAATACATTTGCAAAAGGAAGGAGTCATTCAGATGCAGAGGGCAAGCTGCCAAAAGGCAACCAGCTATTAATTCTGAGCAGAATTTGGTCTGATTTGATATTAAATAGCTGACTCACTAGTTTCGTAGGATGCAAAGAAGATAGAAACTAATCATAGCTGAATCAGAAAATTATTAAAGTATTTTTGGAAATAATTAGTACTCTAATTCTCTTTCATGGTATTTATCAAAGCTTCACTCATCTTGGGAGAACTGCTATCTCATTTATCATGCAATTTAAAAAACCCTCAATATTGACTTCAAGATGGTTAGGTGTAGTCATAACATCATCTTACTAGACACGAGGTATTCACAGGGATGCATTTCCCTAAGGCAGTCAGTTTTAGGGTGTCCACTCCAAGCAAAAGAAAGACACAGCAAGTTCTTGAACTAGCAGCAGTCTCTACCTGGAAAACACATGGGATAAAATGTATGGATGTGGCACACTCTTTTCATCCAGAAAAAAATTGAGGTTAGACTCCATCAGACACTAGGAACTAAAATGTTTTAAACACTCTCTTGAAATCACAAATGACTGGGTTATTTGGGGCCTTTTCCCTGCAGATTCACCTTGGTGTGTATCACACTGGATTCTGCCCTGTAGGCTTTCTCAGCTGGGCTGTCTTCATAAGACATGTGTGTGTGTGGATTTACTACTGGATGTTGTGGCACAATTGATAGCTCCACTTTGAACTTTATCACCGACTTGCAACTTTCATCTTAGAACTGGGCATTTCTCAGGAAGATTGATTATCACAACCTGAACTTAAGCACTTGGCTAATTGTTGTCTGGAGCCCTGCTGAGTTTCAATTTTACTATTTGTCTAAAATTTAATTCCTTTTTTGTAAGAGTGTCAAATTCGATCAGATTAGTCTTTTCCAGTATAAACATGTCAGAAACCAAAAAGTAGCTCCATTTCCACCTAGGCTTTTGTCAGTACAATGGAAAAGTAAATTTTAGGTGATGTATTTATACAAGTAAATTACATTCCAATCTCAGTCTTTTCTGTTTAAAGTGTCAGATTTAATCCCTAAACAAATTAGAAAGCCAATGTTTGTATTGTTTCCCTAAATCACATGCAGATTTTATTGCCACCCATGAGGGAAGATAATACATTCAGCATTTCCTCCACCCTAAGTAATGTGCAATTAAATAATAAGTACTAATGACTGCATTCTTCTTGAAAATATATTTAGGGGTTTAAATTGAACATATTCCTCTGCGACTTGAAAAATCTAGACTTCTTCTTCTAAAGAAAATTTAGAGATAAGCCCAGAAGCAACCTGAGGCACAGTATGTTCTCATCATAATAAGCCAGAGAGAAAAAGAAAATAGTGTTGGAAAAGACTTTTAAAGATTTAAAATATATAAATCCCATTCTTGAGGGCTCTGCCTAAGCACAGACTACAAGGAGAGTGGAAACAAGACAAAAGCTGGAAAGTGCTTACCTCATAATCTGTGTTTTTTCCTAGTTTCTCTTGTCACTCTTTAAATACATCTCTCATGCTTTTTTTACTATTTCTTCCCCTGTCATCCCTTTCCTCACGCCTTCCTGCACAATGTTCTCTTCAGCTCTCTTGCCATCCAAGTAATTTTTTGCCGCTTCAAAACCAGAGCCTTGCATTTTTGCTGTGCCACCTTCTTCCCTCAAATATCTCCAGCCACCACCCAGCGACAGACTTTTTTCTCTTACCAGTGTTTTTCTCTGCATCTTCCCATACTGTTCCATTCCAACTGTTTTCCCTCACTGTTTGCCAGTCAGCTTCCATTTTCTTTACTCTTATTTTGACCTTGTTTCTCCTATTGCCTTCTTTTCTTTCCATAGGTACCCCAGATTCTCCTTTCTCTCATTCCTATAATTATGACCTATCTTATAATTTTCCTTTTTCTATCAAGTCTCTATGTTTTCCAAGATTCACAATCTTCCCAATTTCAAATATCCTTTTTGTATCTTCTTCCATTTCTCCATCTTCTTTATTTCTTTCCAAATCCCTTTTCTCTCCTCTTTGCTTTCTCTCTCTACCACCTCACTCTGTTCAGGTTCTGTTTCAGAACTGATGTTGTAATACTTCTACAGCCACCCTGGCAGACTACAGAGGGAAAGAGGCAGTATGTCAGTCCATGGCAAGGAGCCCAGAGTAACTCTTCACCTCAAAACTCACTAGCTGAACAAGAAAGTTAGTTGAAGGTGCCTTGAGAGCTTCCTCCACATCCTTAGACAGCACAGAGAGACCCAGATCCCCAGGCTCCTGCTGTGCGAGCAACCTTTTGGACTGTGGGGTATTTGAATAATCTGTGTAGCTTTTGGGACCATGTGCTTACTTTTTTGTTTGGTTATTTGTTTTGTTAGGTTTTTTTTGTTATTTTTGGGGTTTTTATTTTTTCTAGTTTGGATTTTTTTTTTTTCCCTGACCAGATACTGAGGATTTACAGAGAATCAAAGAGCATTGCAAGGGACTTTATGAACCAGGGCTAGCCTTGGTATTGTATCAGGCTGCTTGATGACTCATTTGGATACTCCTATTTCACAGTAATCCTGCTTCATGAGCACTGTACTATGCAGATAAACCCTCTGCCTTGCTACATCCTTACTTGTAGTGCTTTTACTCCTTTCTTGAATATTTGTCCTTCTTTTAGTCAGAGACATGCCAGACCATACTATGGAGAAATAGATTTTCTTCCCACTTCTCAACTCTGACAAGACTTGGAGAGTACGGGAAAGCCAAGTTCTGCCCAGTGCCAGCCCACAGGAGACCCAGAGTTCATTGTCATCCTAACACTGCTCCTGAACCGCATGGTGAGTATTTCCCAGAACAGCAGAGTTGTTCTTTACCATCCAACCACTCCCACTGCTTAACTGTACTGGTGTGAAACAAGTGGTTCCTGCTTATCTTGCTACATCTCTTGTAGCTGCTACCCCAGCTGAAGCTTTGGTGCTACTAGGGTAACTAGAGTTCAGAACAGACGGTCTTCAAGCTTGTCTCTACTTCTTCTTTTATGGGACCATGGAGATGGTGTATGAAGCAGTCAGAATGCAGAGCATGATAATTTATATAGCCACAGTCACAGATGGTCCTGCTTAATTATTAGTGAAGCCAAAAGGAATCTAATCTTTATGAAAAAGAGGACTCTCTAACATATATAATTCTTTTCAATTTAGCTCTTTTAATTATTTTCTTGCAGCTGCTGCTGTGTGATGGTGTTTGTGGAAGTTGAATGCAAACAGTGATGGACTGTGGATGCAGGGGGCTAAATCAGTTTTCCTTTGATCACAGCCTGGATGGTGAGAGTGATTCCCATGTGTGATCAACTCTCTCTGGCTAGCCAAGGAGCAATATTCTAACAGTTAATTGTCATTGATTGTTAAAAGTCATTGATGAAAAAACAAGGGATTAAAAACAATTATTTGTTTTCGTAGAATGAATGACTCCTTACTGTAATATAGCTTCCCATGCATGGTAGCCTTCTCCTGGGCTTTAAAGTTAAAGGCTGAAAAATGAATTAAAAAATCTCAGTGTAGAAAGGTATCTGCTTCTGAGTTCTCCCTCACCAGCTGACTGCCAGTCAAGAGGAAAGGAGAAGGAGCTACTGATTGGCTGTTACCTGTCTTCTTATCTGAGAGTACTGTATAATTATCATGATACAAACTGTAACATCTCTGTAATTCAGCTGCTCCTTTCTGAGGCTCAGTTTTGATTCGGACTGCACCAGACTCTGAAGGGAGAGGAGCCACCCATGTAAACATGAAGCTGAAATGATGCTAAACTTCCCCTGAGCAGAGGAGTCTACAGAATTTTAGCCTAAGGAATAGCAGCACAGATTCAGCTCCAGAGATAAAGTTAGGGCAAGATGGGAACTGTATCTGTTAGAAACATCAGTCCTTTTGTCCACTCCTCCCAGGAACCTGCTCTTCAACACCTTATTACCACCTACAGAACAAAGCAGATACTATGTGATTCAGCAGTGGACTCTTAATGAAAAGTATATGTTTTTTTTTTGCTTTTGCAGTTTTAGCAGTTCTCACAGTTATCTGTAATGAACAGTTTTCATTGACAGAAAATTATAGGAAAGGACATTTGATTCTGCACTAAACTTTCCACGAGAAAAGATACTTAATTAAAACCAGTGATTTTGTTAAAACTGCTAAAGACGCGTGCAGGTGGCCCTTCCCTGCCTGTTCTTTAAGATGAAATCACTGCCTGCTTTCAATTGCTTTCTGAGTCGACAATGTGTGCACAAAGCCAGGCATTAAAGATGAATCTTTGCCACTTGAATAGCACAGTGGAGCTATAGCAAGCTAGATTTGAGGAGGGAAGGATGTTATCACAAAATATACTGTGAGACCACAAGAAAGATGTTGCTTCTTTGTACATCAGAGTGCTATGGGTATCAACTTTTTCCTCAGCTGTGGTGCTCCACGGAAGAGGATAATGGTAGTGGATCTGGAGACCCATGCATTGCAAGAAGGTATCAATAAGGCACAAAATACTTAGTATCATTGCAAAAAAGAATAGGATTGCTACCAGCATTTTCCATTTTCAGCAGATCTGACATATGAGGAACCAAAATGCAGGAGAGGCAGATCTACCTTTCAAAATGTATGAATGGGCCAAAAGGATTACTGTGGACTTAGATCTAAGACATGCAAAATGCTACACAAGTAAGTGAACTTCATGTGTGGGTACAGGCTGGAGACTGCAGGAAAGGATCTTGGTGTCCTAGAAGGAAGAAAGTAATTTTGAATCAACAGTAAACTCTTGTAACAATGCAAAAGAATCAAAAGTAGGTCAAAGGAAATGATGATTCACTTTTACTTGGCACTCGTGAGGCTGCATCTGGAGTAGTCTTCAGTTCTGGGAGTCTTCAGTTCTGGGAGTGAGTCCAGAGGTCAGTAAGATGGTGAGGAGCTGCAGCATATGACCTTAGATAGGATAAGGGAAGTGGGGGGAAAATAAAAAGAATTCTAATAATCCTCTTCAGCCATCTAGTCAGGAGAAGAGAGTTGTAGAGAACACAAATCTTGCCTCTTCTGAGAGATGCACAATCAAAGCACAATGGATGGTGATCAGTTTGCAGGAAACAAAGTTCAAACTGGTCATAAAGAAAATTCTTCTCTGTGACAGTGATTAAGAACTGTGACAGTGATTAAGAACAGGCTGTGCAGAGACATCATGGGATCCCGAATTCTCCATCCGTGGACATTTTCAAAATTTGACAGAAGGACACCCTGAGCAACTTCATATAACATGGCAGTCTGCTGTGACTTCAGCAGGGAGACTAGAGAGCTCCCAATATCACTTCCTACCCAGAGTATTCCATGACATGTATAAAATGGCAGCATCTTGAGAGCTACTACAGAGCACCTAGCTGTTTTGGGGGTATGGGGCTGTTAGGCACTATTGAAAGCTGAAAGAAGATGGATCCTGTTAGTTTGGTAAAAAGGGCTGAACTTGTAATGGTATCCATGGCATCAACTGTTCTCATTAGGAACTTCTTCAAAATGGATGACATTATATTTACAAATGTGGGTTTGCAATGACTTCATAAGAGGATTACTCATAAAGAACTGCATTTTATAGCTTCCTCCTCACCAAGCCTTTCTTCATGGGTAAGACCTTGTTTAAAGGTTCCTGAAGTGGTCTGGGGAGAATTTCAGGTTTTGTTTACAACAAAAGGTTGGGGAAAAACTTTGGTAAATGTCATCATGTAAGACAACTGATTTTCTAGAAGACAGTTAAGGACCTAGAATATTTTAAAACCAGAAGGAATGTCAAGATTTTCAAGTGAGTCTCATATTTTTTCAAACCCTGACTTAATATGGTTGAACAAAATTTATTTTGGAAATGTGTTGCTGGAGCTTTTCCATCCCAAGAGCACAAGGAAACAAACTCCCCAAGATGTGAGCACTGAAGTCTAATGCAAGTTCCTGAAGGGAATCAGTAAGTGTAGGCTCACCACCAATATTTAAGAGCCTTGTGTTTGCATCAAAGTTGCTGATGTGACTCAGAATGGTCACTTGAGATTTAATGAGGCTGGAAACAGTGCAAGAATCACTGTCCTCTGCTTGTAAGAGCAAAGGCCCTTCAGTCAGTGTTCACTTGAGCAGTGCAGTCAGAATATGCTGACCTGGGGTAATTTTGTTCCTAGCGCATAGTGCTTCAGCAGGTAGATGAGTGGGGTGAGATGAGAGCATGTAATAAAAACACCGTGGAGAGAATGAGATGATGAAACACTTTCAGTTTCATTTTCTGGAGATAGAAGGACTCTCACTCACTGACTGCTTTTTTACTCTATGATATTAAAAAAAAAACAACAGAAGAACTTCCTGATCAGTCTTGGGATTAGTACAGTGTTTAAACTCATATAATTACTGTGATGAATTACATGCCTGCCATTGATCTCCTTATCTGCCCCAAAAGTACTTATAGGATGTTCCTTTTGCCTTCTCAAAGTACTGAGTTTGAAGTGAATTTCTGTTTACTTATGTTCATAGCTAATCAAAGGAATCAAAATGAGCTGTACATGACTAATTGACCAGTTTGTTTTACTGTTATCCATGGTAATGCTGATAAAGGTTTTCTGACAGCATGCAAATCAAGCTGCTATCAGCAAAAGGCATTCCCTGTATAAAAAGCAAAGAAGCAGGCAAGCTGCAGTCATTAACCTAGGAAAGATAGAAGCTGCTTGGGAAAAAGGAGCTGCCTTTCAAAGGAAATGTCGGGGTGGGGAGTGGAATAGGATTTAATGAGATGAAAGGACAAGAGACCTGAGGCCTAATTAACTCCCAGAAGATCTCTCTGAGTGTTCAGCCGAAGCCAAACTTAGCAGTCCTTCCACCTACATTGAAATTAAAGTTTAATTTGGTGTCTAAGGGGTGAGGAAAGACCTGCATTATCAAGCATAGAAATCAATGAACCTTGTGAAGGAAAATGTCACACTTCTGCTTGCAGCACAGAAGCTTGAGAAGGAAAAGGTGAAGATATAAGACAACACTTACTCTCGGTGTTGGGAATGGGAGAGATGGATGCTAATCCATAAATTTGTCACTTCCTCTCTCACCATAAAATAATTTCCATTTCCATTGAAGAGGGCAATGTAGAGGTTTTTCTTTGTGTTTGTGGCCATTTTTGCTGTTTTAAAAGTCCAGAGAACTGTTGCAGAACTTTTTACCTGGTTTAATGCAGGTATCTAGCAGACAGGTGAAATACACATTTCCATACACAGTGGACTTAAATATTTCAAGACATTCTCGTTGTGATACTGGGTGTTTTGTCCTCCTTGCCACACCCACAAATCGCTAGCATCAGACACCCAGTTTCTGTATGGAAGGGGAATAAATTTCCATGCAGAAACTTTCCTGAGTAACAACTATCAACCTAAATTAGTGCAAGTCATGAGTAGCAGGTAGGAGCAAGAACAGTAGATGGTATGAAAGTACTGCCCATTGTCAACTGACTGCAGATGGCCTGAACCCCAGGCTTTCCCCAAAAAAGTGGAGCTCTCTCCCTGGGGAAACACTGCATTGAGAACAGTAGATACTCAACAAAAAAAACATCTGCAAATTGGTCTCTATTGGCCAGTACCATTCTAGTGAAGCCACCTTTGCTCTTCCTGTGCCATTCCTCATCAGCCACCTTTCAGCTCTCATCCCATGTCACATCAGCTGCAGGTACCTTAGACACTGTTCTACTACCTGATATTTTCCCAACAGCATGCGTGGGTACACCATAGTATTATCATTATCACAGTGCTTGGAAGCTAAAAAATATTTTCATTCATCTTCACAATGAAGAGAATATCAGCAGAAAGACAAAACTATGTAAAACAGGTAAGTACATGTACTCTTCCCAATACCTGGCCCAACAGGCAGGTGGCTCTTAGGAAAAGACATTGGCTTGATCCACATGGTGGACTTGGATATCATTTGCATAGAGCCACTTCATGGATTACCTCACACAAGGGTGGGTGACCAGCACTCCACTTTTCATTCATGCAGAAGGTGGCCTTGAAATCAAATAAACTATAGTCTCATTGTTTGTTTTGCTGGCAAAACAATAGGTATAGTTCATCCTGAAAAGCCGTGTGTGCATGTGTGCAGAGTGCAGAAAGAGTAGCTTGTCCCTTAGTTTAAAAAATATCCTGTAATCTTCTTGAAGCAGAAAGGTTTCCTAAAATGTCATGTTTTTACAGTTTCCAAGTACTTTATCATGCCCAGTGGAAAGTGATAAAAAAAGCTAAAACTTGCCTCCATGTGGAAAGGTTTTTCTGGGCTGAAATTCACAGCCTCAGCTGACCATAATTTTCAGCATGCCTGCAGCTGGTCTATCAACTTTGTATTTTCAGCTCTTTACACTTGTATCCCATCTTCACTAGAAGGTCTTTCCCTTCACACTTGCTTCACAGTACCAGTTGGTCACAGTTAAGGTTACCTGGTCAGCCCTGAGCTTTAGTAGGCGTTCTGCTTCCTTCTGCACATCATATGGATCCTTCATGCAACAGACCTGCTGCTACAGTTGTTTAGATACCATTAAATGAGATGTCCAAATTACAACCTTTTCCTGTTCGTCCCTCACAAAATACTGTGGATGCTGTAGTAAGACCAAGCTGTAAGTCTCACCCAAGCAAGTTTGGCATCCCACATAATTCCATAGTAAAGAGCTGAAATAGCTCCTATCTCGCTCTGCCCAATGATGCCAGCTCAGGCATGGATAGCTCCCCCCTGATCTATCTCCTGTTGGATCAAACCAAATTTTACTCTAGGACTGCAAAAGAGTAAGCCTACACCTTTTCAGCTGCAGTTAATCAGAGTTTATCCGCCAGCCCCTGTGAGAAACAGTGAAAACCCATCTGAATCACTTTCAGAATTAAGTCATTTTTTGCCATTGTCTTGAGAATAATCTTGGAATTAGAAAGCACTAATCCTGCTACAACTTTTACCCACTAAAAACCTCCACCAACTTCAGAGCTCTTGATACATGATTGTGATGGATTTTAATTTCTTGGGTGTGGATAAGGCCTTCATAATCACTTCACTGTAGACAACCTAATGTTTTTTTCAAGTCTTATTTCAACACTTTCATCATTATTCATATTCATTCATCCAAAGACAAAAATGTAAAAACTGAAAGATCAGCCTCCATTCTCAAATCTTTGTACAATGAGTGTTTCACAACCTTACAAAAAAACCCAAACAAACCAAAAAAACCCAACCAAAACCCTAAACAAATTCTAGCTGTGGCTTCCCTGCAAAATTCTTATTACAAATTTCACTGCAGAAAGTGAGATTTCATTCTTACGTGATTTTTTTTGAGAGCCACAGATCAGTAACAAAAGCCACAGATCACTAACAAAAATACTCCCCAAACATACTTGTCCATCAGAAACATGTCTTCATTTTCTTGCAACAGCTGTAAGAAAACTGTAACTTTCCAGTGAAATACACAGCATGTGCCAGTAGGTTTCCACAAACTTACAGAATAAATTAATTTGGGTACACAAAGAATTTAGCCAACAGCAACAAACCATAAAGCTAAGTCTCAAAAGTGTCTATTTAACTAAATAAAGGAAGTTTTAAAGATGTTTGTTTGACAGACCTGTGTAAGTGCTCTGCTGCTGAATATGGCTGAAGTGTGAATTAGAGTTAAAATTGTAATTAAAACAGGCATTTTCATTAGCATGCATCCAAACTGACTGTGTTACCACAAGTTTGCTTTAATGGTTTTTATACTCTCTGCTTGCTTTCTGCACTGCTTGGACAAGCAAGATCTAGTTCACAGCATTTCCACAAAGGTTTCTGAAGTTAGCTGAGGTTATAAATGTTTGCAGAGTCATTTCCACTGCATAGTGCTGTTTTCAGAGGCAGACAGTTCATTGTCAAAAGTGATACCATGTTTCTTCAGTGCCCATCATCCCACACTGACAGCAAACAGCTAGTAATGCACCAAACAGTCTTGGCCAATTGCCTATGGACAGCTAAAATTAACCTGTAACAAACACTCACTGTGTGTTCTGGAGTATTAAATGTTTTTAAACCTCTATTATAGTTGTTTTGCAAGCAGAAAAATGGACAAAATTCAAATGAAAGGGAGTAAGAACTTATTTAGGCCACCATGGGTGGACTAAAGCATGTAGGTGGACAGCTACAGAGACAGAGGGTAGTATGAAAGATCTGAGTTACATCTGAGTTATATGCCCATGTCCAGACTATTTGCTGGAAATAGTGCCTTCATTATCTATCCATTTAGTCTGTAGAAATTCAAGCCAGAGCTTCATTTACTTTTGAATTTTTCTACAGTGAAATTTGATCTTCTGGGGTGCTAAATTTTTTCTGCAGTGTTGAGTATCTTAAAGCCCTCCAAGCCTCAGAAGACATCAAACTGCTGTCTTGCTCCACTCCCAAGAGGATCCTACAGTGGGAAAAACTGATGTAAATGACAGTGTAAAATACTGCTGGGGGCAGGAACAAAAGCCTCTGCAACCAAGCATTAATCTTAGCTTGAAACTAAAGACAGAAACACAGCCAAAAGAGCTATTGTCCTCAGAGGGAAGACAAATATTCCCTAACTTGCCTCTACTAGTACAGCCAGCACCTTCATGGGCCCTTTGGGACCTTCCTTTGCCCCTGTGTCTTTTCTCAAGGCACAGTATTTCTTATAAGCAAGCATTAGTCCACAGAGAAAAGAAACACATACAAGAGTTAACTCATTCCTTAGCAGAAAGCAGGATGTAAGGACACCACAATTTCACTGATGGACAATTGTTGCCTACTGAGTCTCCCCATTATCCTGATCAAGTGAGAGGAGTTAACATAAGATGTAAGACCAGGCCTGCAGCACCAGAGCTACTGCCTGTTCTGGGGGACTTTCCAGGTGAGAAAGCTGATCTCTGACAGGAAGGAGCTGGAAGGCAAGCTGGAGTGGGAGTAATAGATTTTACATCACAAATATGTTTCCTTGCATTCTTCCCAACATAAAAATCGATTCAAAGAAATCACTGATGTCAAAGCTAATCAAAGCCAAGCAAACTGCTGTGCTTGGAGTGCTTGAAGTGCCATGAAAGAATATGAAGGAAGACTGCTGCTTGCAAGCATTTAGCCACACAACATGGTCAGCTACATCAGTCCCACTACTTAAGTCACATATGAAAATGAGCACTGGCTAAACTTTGTCCTCATTTGCCAGTATTATGCCAATATGAATAGTCTAGTGCTAACTGTCCCTGCAATGATGAATCTCCATACTTCCTCAATTTTCTAACAGATGTCTAACCACTAACCAGGAACAAGTAGTGCATTGCTTAAAAGGATGCTTAAAAGGACCAAAACAACAAATGGATGAGCTAATTCCTTGAAAAAATTTTGTCTGGAAAAGGAAGCTAGCAAAAAATCTCAGGCTACATCACGAAAAGGGAAACCTGGAGGAAACTGTGTGAACTAACATTTTTAGTAATAACTTTTATAGACACACAACCCAAAACTTTGTTCCTGTCATGTTTGACATGTCACAGCTTAACACCACGCACTCATGAAAACTGCTTGCTCACCTCCTCTGCCACAGCTGGGTAGAAGAGAGAGAAAAAATTAAGGAAGGGTTCATGAGTTGCAATAATGACCAGGAGAAAACAGTCCAAGGGCAAAACAGACTCAAAGGTACATAGACAATTTATTACTAACAAAATCAGAGGAGGGTGATGAGAAGCAAAAAAAGCCCTTAATACACCTTTTGTTTCCCCAGCCCCTTCCTCCTTCCCACCAACAGCACTGGGAGACAGGGCCTAGGGGTTTTGGTCAGTTCATCAAAGATTTTCCTCCACTGCTCAGGGAGAGGAGTCCTTCCCCTCTGAGACCATGGGGTTCCTCCCACAGGACACAGTTCTCTGTGAGCTTTCCAGCATGGTTCCAATCTCATGAGCAGCAGTCTTCCCAAAACTGCTGCAGTGTGAGTCCCTCCTGTGGGCAGACAGTCCTCCCAAAACTGCTGTGGCAGAGGTCACTCTTCCACGGGGAGCAGCCTTCCAAGGACAGGCTGCTCCAGCCTGGAAGCAGGGCCCCCTCTCTCCATCGAGTCTTCCACAGGACCACAGCCTCCTCCAGGCATCCACCCTCTCTGGCACGGGCACCTTCCCCAGGGGCTGTGGGTGGATCTCTGCATCCCTTGTGGATCCCCATGGGCTGCAGGGGCACAGCTGCTTCACCATGGTCTCACCACAGCCTGCAGAGGAATCTTGGCTCCAGCATCTCCTCTCCTCCCCCCCCGCCACTGACCTTGGTGTCTCCATGTTGTTCCCCTCACATGTTCTCACCTCTTCCTATTCTCTGGCTGGAAAAAAACCCTGCGTGCACTTTGTTTTGACTTTCTTTTTAAATCTGTCATCACAGAGTTGTTACCAACATCTTTAATTGTCTCAGCCTTGGCCAGCAGCACGTCCATCCTCAGAGCCATCAGGGAATGGCTCTGCCAGACATGGTGGAAGCTTCTGACAGCTTCTCATAGGAGCCACCTCTGTGGCCCCCTGCTGCTACCAAAACCCAGGCCATGCAAAACCAACACAGTTCCCCTGAGCTCATTGCACAGCCAGTCTCTTAAAATGACTTCCATAGCCAAGTGAATTTTACTGACTGGAGGAACTTGTAGCAACGACCAAAAAACTGCAGCCTTCTGTTTCCCCCCGATACATTAAGTAAAATTAATAATGTGGAACCTGATACACAGTCCACACAATGCAGTCAGAGCTTCAGCCCTTCAGTGGATAAGTCCCTCAATAGCCAGTGTGGAGTGAAGTGAATCCTGTCTCTGAGATGAAGGAAGGAGATAGTCTACCACTTCCAGCCAAGCAGGTGCTGTGAAGAGGGATCCCAAGTATTACAGCAAGCACATTGTTATTATGTTCATTCCCTGCACGGGAAAGAAGGCTCTCTAGACATGCCAAGGCATTTCAAGGAGTGAAATACCTACACAAATCCTGCAGAATCAAGCAGAATGTGGTTACTGATTGAAAAATAGCAGAATCCAAATAACCTGAGACACTTTTTGTGGGCTTACCACAGGGATGCAGTAAGAACTTTTGTTTATTCAGGGACTCTGTTACTCCTTCTGCTGAATACCATTTCAGACATGCGTGCCACAAAGCAAGACAAACTAGTGCAGCAAGATCACTGGGAGCACTGCTGATATCAGATACTTTTAGTTTCTTGTAATTTCCAGGCATCAGATGTGGTGTGTGGCAGAGCTGGTGTGTAAGTTGGGAGACAGCACTGTCTCTCCCTGGAGATAACTTCTGCCTTCCTCACATTCAGTCATATGCATCTATGTGATGTTATTACTGAACTGGTCAATAGCCTAAGGAAAATTGGCTCCTAGGTGTAAAATAGTTTCAGCATAGGCCTTGAGGTATACACACTTTCCAACAGGCCAGTTCAGATGAAGCATTAGCCTTAATAAATAAATAAGTTCCAACTTCAGCTGTTTGTTCCATGTAGCAAATATTTCCATTCCAAAAAAATGGCGTTGTGGCTTCAAAGAAAACTGGTTTCTAAATAAAAACATCTTTGTCATTAATTATCACAGCCATTCCAAGAAGTTCTTTGAATATGAAGTAATTAGTGAACCAGGTAAAAGAGGATGAGACATGTCTGTAACAGAATTGTTAGTGCATAAAGGATAAGGACTTAGTTTTGTCATCTGAAAACCACATTACTTTCTCTGGTTGGAAGTAGGTCAAGTGCCCTCAGGAAATAGCTATTTGGTTCTCACCAGGAAGTAATCTGATACTCACACATCTCCAGCCTTATTAAAACCTCAGTATGAGGTAAAGTCAAGGATGTCAGCTTAGTTTCTTGTTGCATTGAAAGGACAAGGGTGATGTTTGAAAGGAAAAGGTTTATTATTTTTAATCAGACACTCAGGCAAATAACGCTGTCAGTGAATCACATGCAGAGCTGTTTAGTTTTCCAGCAGCCCACACAAGACCAATAAT